TACATTGCTAGGTTCATCTCCCAATTAACTGATACTTGTGAACCAATGTTCAAGTTACTACGGAAAAATCAGGCCGTAGTCTGGAATGAAGATTGTCAAGTTGCTTTTGAAAAGGTCAAACAATACCTGCAAGACCCTCCTGTATTGCGTCCACCTATGCCAGGAAGACCGCTCATTTTGTATTTGACCGTATTGGATAATTCAATGGGTTGTGTATTGGGTCAGCATGATGAAGACGGGAAAAGAGAGCATGCTATATATTACTTGAGCAAAAGATTCACAGATTGCGAACAACGATATTCGTCGTTAGAGCGAACTTGTTGTGCACTGGCGTGGGCTACTCATCGTCTAAGGCAATACATGTTGAGCCACTCTACTTGGTTGATATCAAAGATGGATCCTATCAAGTATATTTTTGAAAAGCCCGCTCTCACTGGAAGGATAGCTCGATGGCAGATGCTATTGTCAGAGTATGACATTGTATATGTTACTCAGAAATCTATCAAGGGTAGCGCTTTAGCGGAATATTTAGCCCATCAACCCATTAGTGATTATCAGCCGATGCAACCTGAATTTCCTGATGAAGATATCATGGCTTTATTTGCTGAGAACAAAGAGGACAAAGATGAAAAAGCATGGACGGTATTATTCGATGGGGCTTCGAATGTAATGGGGCATGAAATAGGGGCAGTGCTTATCTCTCCTAAGAATCAATACATTCCCATGACGGCAAGGTTGTGTTTTAATTGCACGAATAATATCGCAGAATATGAAGCTTGTGCCATGGGTATTCGAGCAGCAATAGAGTCTAAAGCAAAAATTCTAGATGTATATGGAGATTCAGCTTTGGTCATCCATCAATTGAAGGGAGCCATTGCAAAGTTGGTAAAATTGTTGTCGGTAACCTTTGCCGACGACCTTTTCAGCCGTCGATCATTACCAAAGGCTTGTGGCCTTCGGGAAATCCGTCGGTAATTACCATGATCTGGTTCATCTTCTTCGTCTTCCTTCCTACCTCCGTGTCATTTTTTTTTTCGTTTTCATGAACTCCGCCACCAAAAAAGCATCATGCCAATAACAAACTCATTTGCAAACAATGAAACAACCAATTTATTTTCAATAGTTAAAATCATAGAGAATCATAGAGAGTTTCTCTGTAATTCGAATATTTGTAAGAGAAAGAATATGTTATTAGGACCGGTGATGTTCCTAATCGCACAAATCAACTTTGCAATGGCTCGCCGGAAAAGTTGAGCTCACCGGAAAAGTTGAGCTTGTCGGAAAGACTGAAAAGTGGACAATGGTGGGTTGCAACAGTGGCGAGCCTGCGATGGTGAAGAGCAACGGTGATGAGACTACATGACGATAAGCAAAACTTAGAAGGAGAAATGAGTAGTGGTGGCAACAAGTTCTGGTGACCAAACATTGGAGGGTGGCACTGTCGGTGGGAAGAAGTTGTACACTGAGATTGAGAGAAATGAGAAGGAGAAAAGAGTGTGATGTTTGCCACATATATTGGCATTATAGGCGAAATTCGGGTTGGAAAATTCCTGTTCTTTTTACCGAAGGCCACAAGCCTTCGGTAAATCTGTTGGTAACGTCGCTAAGTGAAATAAGGGGCGGGAAAATTCCTGCTCTTTTTACTGACGACCAAAAGCCTTCGGTAAATCCATCGGTAACACCGTTAAGTGGAAAAGGAGCGGGAAAATTCTCGCTCTTTTTACCGACGGCCCAAAGCTTTCGGTAAATCTGTCGGTAAGTGACATACACATTAACGACGGCCAAAAGCCTTCGGCAAATCCGTCGGTAATGTGCATTTCACTTACCGATGGATTTACCAAAGACTTTGGGCCGTGGGTAAAAAAAATAAAAAAAAAACCGTCAGGAAATCCGTCGAAAATTAAAATATATCGACGGATACATATTCGTCGGTAAAAATCCGTCGGTAATATTAATAATTTTTGTAGTGTACGTTCTACCCGTAATCCCTCTCCACATTATCTTGCTTTAAGTTATCATAGATTGTCTTCACCTTTTTATACCTGCCTTTCTTCTATTTCTTTTGTGACAATTCCAAAATCTATTACTGATGCCTTAGCCCATCCTGGTTGGCGTCAGGCCATGCTAGATGAACTAAGTGCTCTTCAGCATAATGGAACTTGGGAGCTTGTCCTATTACCGTCTGGGAAATCTGTTGTTGGTTGTAGGTGGGTTTTTGCTATCAAAGTTGGTCTTGATGGAACTATTGATCGCCTCAAAGCTTGTATTGTGGCCAAAGGTTACACTCAAATTTTTGGTTTAGATTATGGTGATACTTTTTCTCTAGTGGCAAATATGACATCTATTCGTTTATTTATAGCCATGCGACTCTTCAACAATGGCCTCTTTATCAATTGGATGTCAAAAATGCATTCCTTAACGGAGATTTGCAAGAAGAGATTTATATGGAGCAACCTCAAGAATTTGTTGCTCAGGAGGAGTCTTTTGGATTGGTATGTCGTCTTCGCAAATCCTTATATGGCCTAAAACAATCTCCTAGGGCCTGGTTTGGAAAATTTAGTAATGTTGTTCAACAATTTGGTATGACTCGGTGTGAGGCAGATCATTCAGTCTTTTACCGTCACTCAAGTGTTGGATTTGTCTACTTGGTAGTATATGTTGATGACATTGTTCTTAAAGGCAGTGATAGGCATGGCATCTCTCAGATGAAACAACATCTTTGTAACCATTTTCAGACCAAAGATCTTGGTAAACTTAGATATTTCTTGGGTATTGAGGTGGCACAATCCAATGATGGTATTGTTATATCTCAAAGGAAATATGCACTAGATATTTTGGAGGAAACTGGGTTGATGAATTCAAAACCTGCGGACACACCCATGGATCCTAATACTAAACTTCTACCAAAACAGGGGGAGCCTATGTCAGATCCCGAGAAATATAGAAGACTAGTTGGAAAATTGAATTATCTTACAGTTACTCGTCTTGATATTTCCTTTGCAGTTAGTGTGGTAAGCCAATTCCTTAATTCCCCATGTGAAGATCATTGGAATGCAGTTATTCATATATTAAAGTACATTAAAGGATCTCCTGGAAAAGGGTTGTTATATGGTTCTAGTAACCATACAAGAGTGGTTTGTTATTCTAATGCTGATTGGGCAGGATCTCCTTCTGATAGAAAATCTACATCCGGATATTGTGTCTCCATTGGTGGTAATTTGATCTCTTGGAAAAGCAAGAAACAAAGTGTTGTGGCAAGATCTAGTGCAAAAGCAGAATATAGAGCTATGGCTTCAGCCACTTATGAACTTGTTTGGCTTAAGCAATTGCCTATAGAGTTACAATTTGGAGATGTCACGCAAATGACGCTTATATGTGACAATCAGGCTGCTCTTCATATTAGTTCTAATCCTATCTTTCATGAGAGGACCGAACAGATTGAAATTGATTGTCATTTCATTCGAGAGAAGATTGTATCTGGAGATATCAAGACTGAATTCGTTAATTCAAGTGATCAACTAACAGATATTTTCACTAAGTCTTTACGGGGATTGAGAATTGATTATATTTGTAACAAGCTTGGTACATACGATTTGTATGCACCAGCTTGAGGGGGAGTGTTAGATATATTATATCTTTTACTTTTATCTTTTATCTTTTAGTTAATTTGTTATTATTTCGTAATTGTATTTTGGGCTTAGCCTATATTTCTTCTATTATAAATAGAGAACCCTATGTCTATATTTAACACAAGGGAGATTAATCCTAAATATAGTTTTTCACTATATTGAATAATTATTATTATTTGTTAGAAATAATATGTTTTTAAGTGAACTTTGATAAAAATTTAGAATTCGCCTTTATCTAAAACTTTAAATATTTTAGTTCTTAAATTTTAAAATAATAAATATATTTTTAACATATTTAGATTACATTTTTTAAGTGTCGAATATATTTATGTCACAATTTGAGTTTCTTTTATATAGTTTGATATATTTTTATTTAAATGTTAATTAAGAAATATGTTTAACATGTTAAAAATAATTAAAAATTTTAATTTTAAAATTTGAGAACTAAAATATATTAAAATTTTACCACATAACTAAAAACTAGAAAATTAAATATAAATAAATTTTTATAATTTTATTATAAATAACTTTTATTTATTTTATAAAAAGTTTTATAATTAAAAAATGATTAAACTTTTGAAAACGGTCAACTTAATAAAATAATTATTTTAATTTTAAAAAATATTTAAAAGATCAAATTAAAATATAAATTTGTACATAAAAAAAATCATATATATAGTTTTGGTTATGATTATTGTCATTGTTTCTATTATTATGATTATTGGTTTTATTTTTAATATTAAGGATGATAATAAAGTGAAACAAGTGTGATTATGCTATTTATATAAAATTTATTCTCATATTCATCTTCACACTGAGTGATATAATATTTTTGTATGTCCTCGAGTTTGTCAAAAATGGGTCCAGGTGTTAATTTGTTAATTTATACTATTATATAAATTGAGTTGAGATTCTTCATTTTGTGTATATATTTATTTTTCATTTTTACCTTCTAAATAACTGTTTTTTTTTAAATTAAAATAACTACTTGTCAATTTTACTCTTTCTATTACTTTTTTTTAAGTTGATATTTTTCATCTGATGTCTTTTTTATAACAATTTTTTAGAGTTAAAATAATTATCTATAATAAAATTATAAAATATTATTTATATTTAATTTTATAAATATAATAATAATAATTTTATTATTTTTTATTTTCATAAAAAATAACATGTTTGTAGTACGTGTATTTTCACTAATAAAAATAAAAATTAAAACAAAGAATAAAAATATTAAATAAAAATAAGATAAATACCAATAATTATAACAAAGAATAAAAAAATATTAAATATGCTCTTTATGAATAAGTTATGAAAATAAAGATGAAAGAGAAAATAATATATTTGTTGAATTATCTAATAAATTAAAGTTATTTTAATAATTTAAAATAAAAATAGGTATGAGGAACAGATAGGTAATTAGACAAGGATGAAACAATATATATATATATATATATATATATATATATATATATTTCATCTTCACAACCAAATTAAAATATTAAATATTACTCATACTTAATCGATAGAAAAAATCTCATCAAAATTAAAATAAGTTAGAATAATATATGTAAAAGAAGGTTCATTTGTCACCCTTGTGCTATACCAATATCATAAATGATCATTCCAAAGTGGTAAAATTTATTTGGAGCATAAAAGCACTATAATTTTCCTAAAATATTTATAGTAGAGGTTTCGTAACAATTATTTTTTTCTTTATTTTTATTCATAACTATTGTGGTTCTAAAATAAAAACCAAGTGAGACTAACAAATAGTATATTATTTTATTTTTCTTTTCTTTTGCATTACAGCAATGAATCTAGTCTCAATGCTTCTACTTTTCTTTTTCATTTCTTTGAGGGTTAAACATATTTTATTTTTATTCTTTAAAATTAGAATTTGTTTATATCTCAAACTTTGATATATTTTTGTCTCAAACCTAAAAATAAATATAATTCTTCTAATCTATTTATACTAAATTTTTTTAATTTGTTAAACACATTTTAGATGATGTTTAAATTATTTATATTATGTTGATATGTTTTAACTTAAACCTGAAACATTATATAAGAAACCAAAAAAATTAATATATATTTATTTATTTTTAAAGTTTGAAGATAAAAATATATGAGAATTTTAAACAAGAATTTTAATTTTACATTTGGACGGAAAACATATTTAAGTTCATAAACTCTTATATATTAATCTTATACACTTCGGTTTTTTATTTAAGGGTATGCATATTAAAAATTATCCATACTTTTTAATTCTTTTTATAAGATTTTTCAGAAAATTCTAAATACTTTTTGTTTATTTATTTCTAAATTATTAATGATTTTTAGTCA